CCCCAAAACCCCAAAACCCCAAAACCCCATAAGTATTAATTATTGTACAAATAGCAACAAGTAAAGAATAAGTGAGGAACTTTTGTAATGGTATCAATGCATGATTGAATTTAAATAAATAATTTCAAAATATTTTTTAATATACAAATTTAATCATCAAAAATATAACTTAATGAATTCTTTCAGCTTCATAAACCATCCTCCTTAGTTCTTATGTATTGGAGGTTTCATTTCTAAATGATGCTCCCATATCTTATCTTCTTAATCCTTTGCAGTCTTTATTTTCAATTCAGCAACTATATCTCTTTATGCAATTATCTCATTTAAAGATTTCTCAATTATTATTGTCTCCTCTTAGCAATGGCTTTGCAAGTAATGCTCAAATAGGATTGAAATTGTTTTGTTTCTCTCCTAATTAATACAGATGATTTATTCTTAAAGAGACATAAGATTTTTTTCCTATTACATTTCCTTTTCAGTCTGCTAAACAAACTTTTAGTTTAGTTCTCTAAATCTAACTTTGAGTTCAATTATTTCATTTTTTAGAGCATTTTTCTCAATAACAAGAATTGAGTTTTGATTACAAAGTTCAGTCCTCTCTTCTTCAAGTTGTTTTCTAGCTTTATCATCAGCTATTTACCTTTACTCAACTACAGAGAGTTATTTGGAAATTAAATTTAGCTTTTTCTTTAGAATTTCAATCTAATCAAACTACTATTGAAAATGCTACTTCAGCTGCAATTACTAGCTCTAATTCATGTTCAAGAATTTTAACAGATATTTTTGAAAATGCAAGGTGAATACTTTAACAGACTCAAACTCATCAGATTCTACTTGATAGACTGCAGATTTTTCTTCTGCAACAAATTAATGAGAGTTTACAATATTTTGCTCTATACTCACAATTAAAAGAAAAAAATACATTTTTAGTCTTTGGAAATCATCATTGGTGCTATATTTTGGAAATCATGTATTATTTCACTTGAGTTCAGATGGTTTGAGGCATCTGATTACCAAATTTAATAAGATTTTCAATTTTTATATTTACCTGATTCCTGTTAGTAGTTTTGGTCAATTTAATCATGCTAGTTTTCCAAATTGTTATTATTCATGTGCAGTTTTTAGATTTAGTATTAGTAATAATTTTAATTATAAATTTCTTAACTCTAATAATTTAAAGATTTTAGTCCATGGGGTTTTGGGGTTTTGGGGAGATCGGA